AGCCCTCAGCCAGCTCTGTAGGAAGCCCTCAGCATTAAGAGGTCGCCCTTACTCAGCCACCTCTCCTTTCAATGCAGGCCAAATCCAAGGACTATGATGGCCATAAACCCTGCCTGCGTCCCGATTCCAGATAACCATTAAGAACTGGACCATTTCACCGAGAACCCCACAGGAGGCTGGGACCTCAGCTGAGAATGCGCCACAGCTTAGACTCTTAGACACATTGTGTGTAATCCTGCTATTACCCCTCCAGCCCCACACTGCCGTAAAGAATATTTCACAGTCTGACACTTGGAACCAGTGACATTTAGTGCTAGAGCAGTCTAAACAGGCTGCTAACACGGGATTCTGGAGCTGGACACCATGTGGGTGACGAGAAGGAAGGCAGAGGTGTGGCACAGACCACAATGTAAATGCAGAGTGGGGGAGTCCAACAGTCAAGGCTGGGGGAGTCTGGACAAGATGGGATGCTGAGGTTCTGAATGGAGGGTGGGGCTACATAAACTCAGAGCACCTGAGAATGATGTGAGCAAGCTGGGGTCTCAGCAACTGAAAGTGAAGGCAGAGCGAGAGTGGCGCCATGAAAGGCTTCGTCAAAGAAGTAAAAAAGGAATTCTGCAACATCAAGCCACTTGTAACACGGAGTTGACGTAGCTTTTCTGGAAGGCTCAGACAGTAAGTGCTTTCTTCTTTGCAGGCCTCTGGTGTGCATTAACCACAAAAGCATCTGTAGACACTGCACAGCACAACAGGCATGGCTGCTGCAGGAACCGTAGTTACAGCAGGAGATGCTGCACCTGGTCCTCAAGTCTCAGACATGTGTCCTAATGTGACAAACAGTTAACGGATAATGCCGTTAATGAAGTAAATCTCTCACCTGGCCAAGAGGCTCCTCAAGATGGACCTCCAAATATTCTGGCGGCAAAGTGGGAATACTTAGAGAGGTGTGTGAGAGTGGGGGAACTGAGCGGACGAGCGAGGACTCAAAGTCTTCAATCAAATCTCTCCTCTGACTCCTGTTAGCTTCATTGTGCTCCCACACCTCAGAATCCTTCTCTCCCACATCCTCTAATCGCAGAAGTTCAACTTGTGACTGGATGTGTAGCAACTCCGGCTTCACAGGAGTGTTCAAGGGGGCATCTGATGGCGGTGGGAGTGTGTCACTCATTCCATCTTGTCCTCTGAGCGACTTAAAGTGTTTTGTGAGGGCGGCCCAGAGTCCAGCAATCCACGGCTCTACAACGAGCTCTAAACTGGTATGTAATAAAAGGGGAAAAAACCAAATGTCTAAGTTGTCCATTTGAGCACAACAATGAAAAAGCAGCATTCGGTCCATTCGGCAGTGTACTATATGCGACTGTAGATGTACCAAATCGACTATTTCAAAAAAATATAAATAATTTTCATGGTGTTGGTTAGCACTGTACAACTGAATATGCAAACAGAGCAAATGAGCTGAGATATGAAGCTACTTTGCCCCGATAATGGGGCATTGATGCTCGGCCTGCAGGCTCCTTCCACTAGAGGAGATGCTAACAGGGCCCCTGTGTGCAGGCAGAGAGAAGACACGCAGGCAATACCAATGTTGCAGAAGCAGCACTCACTTACAAACACACCCATGCTCTGAGATGCATGTAACAGTGCTGGGTGCTTCCCTCTTTCCATTAACAGATGGTGGAGGTGGGGATGTGGGACATGACAACACAGGCCAACCAGGCTCCACTCATCTGACCTTCCTGGGTTCTGGCTAAATGGTGAAAGTATAATGAGACTCAGATGACTGGCAGTACTAAACCAAGCCAAACATTTTTCATAAGCTCACCAACTTCCACCATGTGTATGAGTTTACTGAAAACAGACATGCACTGCCCTTACCCTACACAGTCGTCCGCATGTCCAGTGTCGTAGAAGTGCTGGGCTCCGAGCTCCTGGAGTCGTTTATCAATTACTTTCCCTCCATTGCAGAAGTATGTGTATTCTGAGTCACCCAAACCTGAGAACCCAAAAAGACACTTGGTGTCTACAAAGGCTCAAAGAAGTAACAGATGCAGAAATAATATGTCTAAACACTATCCCATACTCCTTACACATACAACAAGAAATAATGCATGGATCCACATTTACTTATTTTTTTCAGCGATGCTAAGTATGCACATCCTGAAAGGTCCAGACAGTAACAAAACAGATACTGGCTACTGGTCAGAGAAATATACATGCCTAACATTGCCGTTTCCAGTAGTCACTGAAACAGGTCAAGCTGGCTTTGAAAGTGCTAACTGTACTTTACACTCTCTCAACTCTGAACACCACGGCCAAGGACCATTCTGATCCTCACCATAACCTCTTTAAGTTATGCTTTACGAAGCCCTAGGCCAGCCGGGTGTTGGTGGGGGAGGCAGAGGCAGGCAGATCTCTGTGAGTTCGAGGCCAGCCTGGTCTCCAGAGCGAGTGCCAGGATAGGCTCCAAAGCTACACAGAGAAACCCTGTCTCGAAAAACCAAAATCAAAACCAAAACAAACAAACAAACAAACAAACAAGAACAACAAAGCCCTAGGCCATTTTCTTAGCATGTGATGGGTGTGACCATCAGCAAAGAGCTATTACTAACCATGGAAGAGTCCCACCTCTGAGTATCAGTCACTGCTAGCAGGCCAAATATAAAGGAATTATTAAGAATCCCTGGCTGGTTCCAATGTCCCTAGAAAACCACAATGCTGAAGTTATGTTCTCAGGGAACATGACTGGGCTTTACCTTAAACAATTAAATAACCTAAGAGCTTATTCATGCAAGAATGGTGTTTCAGTAGGTTTGGAGTGAGGCCTAGACACCAATCCAGTGAGAATATTCTATGGCTACTGAAGGGGTTCTACAGAGTGGTGGGAGCATAGCTGAGAGGTAAAGTGCTTCCCTAGAGTCTAAGATACATACAGGATGGGGGGAGGAGAGGACCAGGGCACCGCTTTTGAGTATAGACTAGACAATCCTTGATATTTCTGTATTTTATATAGATCCAATATTTAATGTAAAAAAAGACACATGCAACTATATTTCATGATTTTGAAATATATATTCCTATGTCAAAGCAATAACTGCATACATTAAAAACCTAATACAGTCCATTACCCAATAATCCATATCGCAGGTGAGCAAAGAAGTCTGTTGGTAATGTCTTGTCGTGTATTTCTTTAACAAACTTGAGGGCTGTGTCAGGCGGATCTCCAGTCCCCGTGGTGGACACAACCATTACTAGAGGAGCAGATTCAGTTTTCAGATCATACTACAAAACAAGGAGATCAAATCAGGACGCAGGACTGCATGGATCTGTGATTTAACACAGCAGCAAGAGTAAGACAAAGCAATCAGCCAGGTTCCTGTCTTGCGCACTTCCTTTTAACACAGAAGCAAAGGACACTGCTTTTTTAGTTCACCTTTGCTGATGTTCACCAGGAAGCTGGGAGAGTTTAACACATCTCTCTTCCATGTGCTTCACTAAGAAAACGTCTGGGGTCTCCCCCCCCCCCTCCACTGAATTCTTTTTTTTTTTTTTTGGTTTTCGAGACAGGGTTTCCTTGTGGCTTTGGAGGCTGTCTTGCCTCCTGAGTGCTGGGATTAAAGGCGTATGCCACCAACGCCCAGCGCCACTTAATTCTTTAGTTAGGAAAACATGAGAACAAACAGGCTTACCAAAAGTGTCAGGAGGACAGGCAAGAAGCAAGGCAGGAAAATCAGTAGGAGAAGGAAAAACAAAATCTATATATATAATCTATATGTATCTCTATATACACACACACACACACAATATAAAAAGAGCAAAGGGGTTTTATAGGGTCAAGGTGAGACAGAAACAAAGACAACAGACATCACGTACCAGGATTAAGACAGAACAGGGACAGGCATGGTGGCGAACGCCTTTAGTCCCATTGCTTAGGCGGCAGAGGCAGGTGGCTCTCTATAAATTCAAGGCCAGTCTTGGTGACCTCCAGGTCAGCCAATGCTGCACAGTGAGCCCCTACCTCAACAAACAAACATTTAAAAAAATGCACAAGACAGGAGCAACACCCAGTGAAGACAGACTGAGGTGCAGGTGGCAACTCTGGAATCTTCATCAAATCTGAACAGTCATGTGTATGACAATTGAAGCAGAGGCAATGGCAAACAGGTGAACAGAGGGTTATTTTAAAGGGGAAAATTGAGTGTTGCCCCTCAGTATCAGCTGCCTGTCATAACCAACTCCTCATTCTCTTCATGTTTGGAAGGAAATGGATCCAGTCCATGCTCTTAATTCTTGCTAAATTTCTTTCTCAACTGCTCATGAACATGGCCCAGTTTAGGTTCAAAGAATTCACTGCCCATTTTTTGAGATGGGGTCGTCTTGGGCTGACTTTAAAATCATTATGCATCCAAGGTTGGTTTTGAACTTCTGATCCTCCTGCCTCCATGTCCCAAACACCCAGACTATAGGTGAATGTCACTATACCCAGATTATATGTAGGCTTTATGCATGCTGAGCAAGCATTCTCCTAACTCAACTACACCCCCAACCCTATTTTACTTTTTTTGTGGTTCACGATATAACGCAGAGCCTACCAGAGCTACAACCAGTCTTCACTTTCTTTTCCATGCCTATGGATAAGGATTTGGGTTAACTTTCCACCAGGCTGTTAAATGTTTACAAAGTAATCTGAACAGGACTACTATGAGGTAGGCAATAGACGGCTACCCTTTCAACTTAGATCACGCTCAACTGAGAAACCGCTCAGCTGGGGGAACAACCAGCCAGGTTCCCGTGGCCCCAAAAGAAAAACCACCACTCACCTTCCCACCAAACGGATGCTGACCCAACTATGGAGAGATCAACTGTAAGGCCCAATTGGGGCTGGTTTTATGCCAACACCTGCCTGTTATTACAGACTCAGGGTACCATCCAGCATGGGCATGGTGGCATGTTTACTTTGAGCTGATGAATGACAGGGCTCTCTGACTGGTGGTGACTTTGGAAGGTCATCTACAACTATGTTGGTAAAGGCACATCAAAGGGGGTGTCTCCTTTGACCAGCATAAGTCATAATTCACCATGCTGTGCCTGGTCTAGCCTTCTGAAACTGTGGTTTGTGAAAGGCCAGGGGAGACTGAACTAGAGGGAGAGGGCACTGTTGACACAGCTTCTGAGGTACTGAAGGGAATCGGAGGGCTAGGAGCCAGCATAAGTATATATATCTGTCTAACGTCTTTTCATGTGAACTACTGTGAACAATGCATTCTGAGAACAGGGCACAGAATGGTCAAGTGCCTATCAACTCTGGCTAATGCAGGGACTTTTCAGAGAAATCGTGACTACACAGACTAGGAGTCCTTGCCTTAAGAAGTGCCCGAAGCCACTTCTGTAAATTCCAGTTCATCGAGGAAGCACCATGGCCTTTCATTTGGAGGAACTCTACAATGAATGGCAAAGTGGTTTTAGGGCATCCAAAGGGGCTCTGAGTTTATAAAGTGGAAAAACACAGATATGCAAAAAGACATATAAAACCAAAAATGTCCCATTTATCCTCACGGGCACTCGAGATAAATGAATCATATACCACTATTACCATTTACAGGTAGGTAGTATCTGTCTGTTTCAGTTTCTAAGATTTTTTTTAACCTAATTAAAATGTATATACTTCTATAATCGCAACTAGTTGGCAGGATGTCGCCAAGTTCAAGTTTTACCTGGGCTACAGTGTGAGTTCAAGGCTGGTTTGGGTGAGTCCCAGTAACAAAAAAGCTGAGAGGGGTGGGTATAGAGCTTACTTTCACAAGCAACCACTTCATAGCACAAAGAACAGGAAAACCCACGGAACAGTTGCCCTTACCTTTTCCGACTCACTGACACAGTGAAGATCTGCAGAAAACCCATGGGTTGCAGCCTGCTCACTTATTTCTTCTGCTATGGCCTTTGCCTGTCCTCGCTGAGTAGCATACAGTAACAAAAACCTTCTCATCACCTCGGGTCATGGGCTGTAACTCTAACAGCGGGACTGAAAAACCACAAAGGGGAAAAGGGGATGCTGTTTAGTGAAGCAGGCCACCCACAAGTATTAATTCACAGCAAATATATACTCTTGTTTCTTTTCTTTTTTTTCGTTTTTTTTTTCGAGACAGGGTTTCTCTGTGTAGCTTTGGAGCCTACCCTGGCACTCTCTCTCTGAAGACCAGGCTGGCCTCAAACTCACAGAGATCCGCCTACCTCTGCCTCCCGAGTGCTGGGATTAAAGGCGTGCACCACCAACGCCTTAACAAGTGTAAGCACTTGTTTCTTAGCGCTCATATTAAATGACCCGCAGTGTGAGGGAATTACAGCAGGAGGCATACAGAAGTAAGACTCTCACTGCTCGGGAAATCCACTCCCGATTTCCAGCCACGTTTGGCTCTTGCAAATGTCTATCAGAGGTGCGCAGTTGTAGGAAGAGTGAGCTGACCCTCACTTCTTCTCATTTGTATTTGGGATTAGGATCGTAAACCCCTCGTGACTAAGAATGACAACAAGGCCTGATCGAGGAGGGCTCAAACACAGTGTCACCTACAAAGGTCTTTCTGTTTCTTCCCTTTTTAAAAACCTTAACTGTACAACGCTCCCCTCCTCCAAACTGGGGGTAATTCTGTTTGCTGCGGGATCCGGATCAAAGTACTGGCTGTCCTGTTGGAGCTCCCACCGTTACACAAGTCAGTAGTGAGTGTACACGGACTTGCACATGGGGGCGGAGATGACCAGGAATAAGATTAAAAACAGAGAGGGCGCCGGGACCCTACGCGCCCGCACTCTGTCTGGTGGCTTTCTGTGGGAAAGCTGACTGGGGGTGGTGGAGCTCACTGCATGCATGCTCTAGCGGCGAGCCGGGACACATAAACAGGCTCGTTTCGAAACAGTGCTAAGGACCTGACTGGAGCTGGGACGCAGAGTCCCAGCCGGGGCAAACGGGGAGGTGGGGAGGGCTCGCAATGCTCGCAACGCCACACGTGCGGGGCTCGCGAATAAGTCTT